TCAGAACTCCGCCCACTTCTGTGTTTTTCCCCAACGCAGGACAGGACGTAAGAGACGCACATGTTTGGAATGTTACGAATGTGATTGATAACGCAGATGTGTGGATGCAAATTATTTTATAAACGGAGGAGGGGAAATATTTGGATTTAAAAAAAACAGGCATGGCACATGGACATGGCACCACAGTCAAATGACATCTGTGTTTTACTCAGTAATGTTTTACTGACACTTAGGTGACTGAAAATGCGCAAACAACCGCGCTCAGTGCAGGAAAGCTAAACCACGACAAACTTGTCAGCGAGTTACCACCAATTTTCCGGACTGCATGCATCCCTGGCCGATTCAATTCAGTGCAAGTCATCAGAGTAAACTTGGGTAATGACAAAAAATTTACATAGGTAATTGTGTTGTGTTGTGCTATATTGGCTCATGCGGTTTTGCATGTACATAAACATACATTGTAGATATAAAGAATATTTTTTGAAATATATGATTTGCATTTTTGTAGTAGGTAGATCATTTTGACTTGATCCTTTTATAAGTAGCTCGCATGCTGAAAAAGTGTGAGCACCCCTGTTGTAACAGATGTTCATGTTATAACTACCTCACTTACTATTTTACCATCACTTCATGAGAGGATTTAGTGTTGGGACAAGCATGGTGAACTAGGAATTATGAATTAGACAGAACCTTGAATCAAGTAGTTCCAATCTTTGTTTAAGTAAAGTCGAAAAGAAGATATATCATGCTAAATGTACTGTTTTGACGTTTTAGCCATGTTAAAACATTTCTCCCTCATAAACAGCCCTGGAGTTGTTAAAAAAAAAAAAGGGGGCGCAACTAATAATGAATTATTTCAAGCACGGAAGCAATTTATTCCCTATTCAAATTAAGAGGCTGAAGAATGAGCTTGTTATAGCAGACCCACTTATAAGTACTCAATGCATTGTGGCTCAAGAGCATGGAGAATTTGCTCAATAATGTATGACATGCCACAGTAGCCTATAAAAACCTCTTAACCCTTTAGGGTCCAACGTAACAGGATAAATAAACAGAATGAGCTCCTGAATCTATATGATGACCTGGCTTCCCTCAAAAAGGTCCTTACATTGTTTTTACATATTTTTATTTTATTTATTTCTGTTTTTGGATGGATTTTAGCCTAAGTCAATTATTACTTAAAAACTTTCAGGCTAGAGGAAGTGTGTGTGGATAGGGAAGTCTGGGCATCTCTGCTTAGACTGCTGCCCCCGCGACCCGGCAACGGATGAAGCGGAAGAAGATGGAATGGAATGGAATGGAACTTTCAGGCCTCTATACCTGTTGTAGTAGTAGTAATGAATTTGATTTAAAGTGTACACAAAATAAAAAAATAAATAATAATAATAATAACAATAATAATTTCAAATACTCTCTGTAATACCCTGATGTACCCCCTATCCCCAGTCGGGAGGGTGGGTTCATAGGGAACACGTATTATACTCCACTGTAACTTGTGTGCAGCACTTTGGTCAGATGTGTTCCTCAATTAATAAAAAATGGAGTAATCTTATTGATGCCAAATGCAACATGTAGAGGGTCTCCATTGTGAGACCAATAAAGTGTATCTTATCTTATCTTATTAGTCTATAAGCAAACTAAACTACTTACAATTCATTCTACTACATGTGACCTGAAACAATTCCCTGACACTGATGTGATTGGAGGTGGAAGGCAAACCCAGAGAATCCTCCAGCTCTGGCGTTCTTGCAGGATAGCATCTTTAATATTTGATAAGGAGCTTCTGGTAGTATTGCTCTCCAAGATGACATGGCAGAGCATCCAGACACACAAAGTCTCCATCCAGACATCTCAAGGTCTCACTCCCACCAAGGATTTCCAGCTCCCAATCCGCTCAGCCTCAAAAGCCCTTCTTCAAAAGTGTGATAGGAGCTTAGAGCGCTCTCATCACTGCACTGACATGTTTGAGTTGTGTCAGTGCTCAGTTCCTATAGGCTCTTGCATTTATGGCCCTTAAACATAATAATGATTCATTTTATTTTATTTACGTTGACATGTCCTGTTTTGTAATTTTAAATAAAAAAATTTGATAAGGCGAAAATATACAGGTAATATTATGTATTATCGTACCTGATTCAGAGCTATGATATGAAATACTGTACGTAAAAGGCCAATTCCTAAAATTGTATGAACGTGTTTACTTTCAATGATGCATATTATTTAACTTAAAGAAAACAATCTGATGAAGCATTTTTCCAGGGATGCATTGTGGCTTTAATGACAAAGTAAATGCGTAACCTACCCGAGAGCTGCTGTGCACAAGGCTTCAGTGCTGTGAGCCAACTCAACCATGAAGTCCACAGCCTTTGATGAAAATAAGGAAAGCTTGAACACCCATTCTTCTTTCTCCTTTTTTTCATCAAGTTGTTAAAATATAAACTGCTCTGCTGGCTTCTGCGTCTAGTAGACTGGATTTCAGCAGTATGTCAAACCTGCACTTGGAGTGTTTATCTATATGCATGGATTCTATTGGAAATTTCAGCAGAAAAAATGGGAAAGTATATACATATATATTACAAAATAAGCAGACATGAGCTTTGGAGAGGGACCCAAAGGACAATGTTGCAGATACAAACGGCTGAATTTAATTTCCGAGCCCAAATGTCTGTCACAAGCAAGGAGCTCAGATCAGAGGTGCTGCTCCTCCACGCCAAGAGGAGGTGAGGTGGCTGAGGTGGCTCTTGCCCAGGCCAAGAAAAAGAATAGAGATTATTGTTGCAAATTTTGATCCAACTTCATAAAGCAAAAAACAATGATGTTTTTGTGAGAGTTTTTCCCCAAAAGCAAACGAGTGGACAGTGCATCCAAACCTCAAACAGTCATACACTCATCGGATCTTCTGCAGTGAATAAATAATTCTACAAGAAAGTACAACTTTTCATCTCTTGGCGATTCCAATCATACAATGTGCAAACCAGGCTCCTGTATTTTGTGTTTTTGTTTGTTGAGGTAAGTCTTTCTTGCGCAGCGATAACTGGCTTAACTGGAGAGTTATTTGCTGCTTAATGGAACACTGATGAGGCTGCATTAATTAAAATAGAAGATCTTTGATTGCCCCACTGACATACTTTCTACACTCGCACAGTTTACCACATTATTTTAGACCATCGGCTATTGAATTATTTCCCACGGATCGTGTGACGTGTCAGTGCTGTGTTGTCCTATATCATGTTCCAGAGATTGGTATTTACATAGTGAAGGTCACATCTTGCATGGCTGAACAGAATTTAATTAAATTGTTAGAATTGACAGTTCTTGATAAAATGCACACGAGTCCACTTAATTGCTTTCTGACAGCTTTGCAGAGTTGGCAGAATGAACAAAATGGATTAAAAGAGGCATATCCTATGGGCTACCTGCATCTAACAGTCAATAGTGTAAAGAAAATAGCACAAACTATTAGCAGGACTGAGGCCAGAGCTACAGTCTGCACCAGGACCAGCCAGACCAGCTCCAAGTTAGACCAGAGTGGCCTGAAGCTGCTTGCTGCTGAAGGCTCATGGGAAAATCAATGCTATTTACAGTACATCACAAAGTAATTAACATCAAACTCGTCTTTCAAGCCACAGCTGAAAGATGAATGTTACAGAATGAAACAATATGAAATTTCAACTGTTGGTATATGTAACCAAAAAATTGGCTTTGCCAATTTTCTATAAATTAAATCTTTGGGTCATGCAAAAGCATCTCTTTTCTTTTCTGAATCCATGATGTGTGGGGGAACTTGTCTGTCTCATAGGAGATGTGTGAACAATTCGCAGACGCTTCTCAAAGGGGCAACCAGCTAAAAGAGACTGAAGGAGAAGCTACGCAACACCTTCCTTCTAAAACACCGTTTTAGCTCAATAAATACTTTATATGATGTGGGTCAAAGAGTATATTCACATCATGTCATATTACAGAGAATAGAATCAGGTGATATCTCCCCTAACTCCTTGACCACAGACTTTTTAAGAATACATTTATTTCTACTTTCATTCCCACTTAACTTTTTTGGTTCACTATTCATAATAGCACGGTATTAGGTTGCCAAGTACGAAAAGTGTCAGAACACTTCTGGAGATACGGAACTAATCTGATGCTAATAAAGTAGAGCTAATGTTTTTTTCCGTTAGAATCAATCAATAAATCAAAAGGTATTTGAATAGTACAATCTGTGACCAGATAAATTCTGGTGCATCACTGGAACAAATAAAAAAACTTCTAAAGGCAATAAAAATAGAGCATGATAAACATCTTAGAACAGTGCTTAAGGCATCCTGGCCTAACATTCTCATTCAAATTAAATCAAAATCAAATTGTATGCTAGTTGTATGCAAAACTCAACCTCACGAGGACTGCATGTTCTGCTGTTTGTCTGTTTGGCGATGTCATCTGTAAAATGTGCCTTTGGTTCTGCTTTCATTTGGTGTGTTTCATCACACGTTAAAACTAAACACCCTCTAAAACTGAGAAGGAAAATTTGCTGATTAAACAACTAGAAACTGCATTAGTGTTGTTGTCTTAGGAAAGTCGAGAAAAGTCGACTCTGCATTGGATTGCAGAGATGTTTGGATGTTATAAACATGTTGGACCATGTGTCAAAACACTAACATTTCAAACTCAATGTTAATACTAAAGAACAGAGGGATAAAACATGCTCTGGGACATAGATTATGTAGATTAGGTTTTAACCATGTTTAGCTCAATCCACACTAATATCAGAAACTATTGCCACAAACATAAAACTCTACCCCTTCTGTCTCAACGCCCCTCAGACATGTCCTAGTCCTATTAGTTATATAAACTGAACATCTTACATTTTCTCTTTAAGAAAACATTTCACTATCTAAAACATTGTATGTCAAAGAGGAAAGTTGTATTATCATTTACGGACCTAACTTACTGTAAAATGGCATTTCTCGTCGACATAGTTATGATGGTGCGTTTCCGTCTCTTACCTGGTACTCATTGGGCCAGAAGGTGCTGACGGCGAGCTCAGCCTGGTGCCACTGCTTGCTATGGGCGCCTGATGCGTTCCACACAGGGTTTCCCAGGGGGCCCCCGTTAACGCGCACGTATGCGTTGAGCGCTCCGGGGCTGTGGCCGTCGCGACTATACAGGAAGTAACTGAATTGGACGCAGTGAGTGTCATTCTCGCTGAGCGCAGGGAGCAGCAGCTGAGCACGCTGGCCCACTGCATGCTGGGAAGAGTTCACCAGCATGTACGAGCCTGCAACACAACACAGACATGGAGGTGGTTAGATATCGAAGACCATAGGATTTCACACACAAGCATTAGCATATTATATGAAGATAAGAGAATACATTATTATTATATCTGAAACGGCACAACACATGAGGACATAGGGGTGTGCCAAAATATTAATATGTTGCACTATTTTGTATCACATATGATTGATATGTTGACTCAAAGTGTCACTGTTAATTAACCTGTACCACTGTCTTTAGATTAATGGGAATCAAATTGAAGTCTTACAGTACTTTCGGCTTTTTGAAGATGCTTTGCAAAGATGTTCGACAGCATTAATCATTCACTCCATACACAGAGGTGATAAATTACTACTGACAGAACCAGTTTATGCCATTGGCCCCTCCAACCACCACCATCAATCCTTCATGCACACATCAAAGTGGGTGTCTTGCCTAAGGACACCACAACTGTTTGGCACTTTACAGCCGCTGTGGAGCCTGGTGTTCCCAGAGGTATCCCATCACAACACTAACCATGTTCTGCCCTGCTTAGAAATCAGGCCTTGACATATTGGTGGCACCAATAACCAAATCATGCTAGGATATGCAGCTTTGGTTAGTGTCCCTACAAATAACAGCAGAATGTATTCATAGGGGTCAGGCTTTACACTTTAGGGGTGAGAATTAAGCTCTTCTATCTATCTATCTATTCAATTTATATTCACACATGGTCGGGTTGTGTCTGCTGTCGTTCTCAGAAAGCATTGTGATTTACAGTGCCTTGCGAAAGTATTCGGCCCCCTTGAACCTTTCAACATTTCGCCACATTTCAGGCTTCAAACATTAAGATATAACATTTTAATTTTTTGTCATGAGTCAACAACAAGTGGGACACAATCGTGAAGGTGAACGAAATTTATTGGATAATTTAAACTTTTTTAACAAATAAAAAACTGAAAAGTGGGGCGTGCAATATTATTCGGCCGCTTTACTTTCAGCAAACTCACTCCAGAAGTTCAGTGAGGATCTTTGAATGATCCAATGTTGTCCTAAATGACTGGTGATGATAAATAGAATGCACCTGTGTGTAATCAAGTCTCCGTATAAATGCACCTGCTCTTTGATAGTCTCAGGGTTCTGTTTAAAGCGCAGAGAGAACCATGAAGACAAATGAACACACCAGGCAGGTCCGAGATACTGTTGTGGAGAAGTTTAAAGCCGGATTTGGATACAAAAAGATTTCCCAAGCTTTAAACATCTCAAGGAGCACTGTGCAAGCAATTACAGTATATTGAAATGGAAGGAGTATCAGACCACTGCAAATCTACCAAGACCCGGCCGTCCCTCCAAACTTTCATCTCAAACAAGGAGAAGACTGATCAGAGATGCAGCCAAGAGGCCCATGATCACTCTGGATGAACTGCAGATAACTACAGCTGAGGTGGGAGAGTCTGTCCATAGGACAACAATCAGTCGTGCACCGCACAAATCTGGCCTTTATGGAAGAGTGGCAAGAAGAAAGCCATTTCTCAAAGATATCCATAAAAAGTCTCGTTTAAAGTTTGCCACAAGCCACCTGGGAGACACACCAAACATGTGGAAGAAGGTGCTCTGGTCAGATGAAACCAAAATCGAACTTTTTGGCCACAATGCAAAACGATATGTTTGGCGTAAAAGCAACACAGCTCATCACCCTGAACACACCATCCCCACTGTCAAACATGGTGGTGGCAGCATCATGGTTTGGGCCTGCTTTTCTTCAGCAGGGACAGGGAAGATGGCTAAAATTGATGGGAAGATGGATGGAGCCAAATACAGGATCATTCTGGAAGAAAACCTGTTGGAGTCTGCAAAAGACCTGGAGCTGGGACAGAGATTTATCTTCCAACAGGACAATGATCCAAAACATACAGCCAAATCTACAATGGAATGGTTCACAAATAGACGTATCCAGGTGTTAGAATGGCCAAGTCAAAGTCCAGACCTGAATCCAATCAAGAATCTGTGGAAAGAGCTGAAGACTGCTGTTCACAAACGCACTCCATCCAACCTCACTGAGCTCGAGCTGTTTTGCAAGGAAGAATGGGAAAGAATTCCAGTCTCTCAATGTGCAAAACTGATAGAGACATACCCCAAGCGACTTGCAGCTGTAATTGCAGCAAAAGGTGGCGCTACAAAGTATTAGCGCAAGGGGGCCGAATAATATTGCACGCCCCACTTTTCAGTTTTTTATTTGTTAAAAAAGTTTAAATTATCCAATAAATTTCGTTCCACTTCATGATTGTGTCCCACTTGTTGTTGATTCTTGACAAAAAAAAATATTTTTATATCTTTATGTTTGAAGCCTGAAATGTGGCGAAAGGTTCAAGGGGGCCGAATACTTTCGCAAGGCACTGTATGTTGACTGCTCTAACCAGCACTGGACACAACTTTTGAACATACTGTAGATTTTGGGAATATTGAGTGCTCAACTGGACATTTGAATGACCCTAATAACATTGTAACCCCTATCTAGTTCCCAAAGTAGGGAATACGCTGCACAGTCTGAGACAGTGATATCAACCTTCCCTTTGCAAGGTGACTCGGAGGTAGAAGACACCCCCCAAAGCCTTCTCTAATCAGGCTAGCACCACCCATCGCCCTCTGCCCAGCATCTGTCCCGCTCCAGTCGCAGTTTGCTATAACGTGATTAGCGGCACAATGTTGGGAGTCCTTCCTGTGTACTGTCATAATCACAGCCGTCGTCTTTGTCCTCCAAGGTCCCAGTGTTCTGAGAGACGAGCCCGAGCTGTAGTCCAGGTGCCAGAGCCAAGACCGGGGCGCAATTAGAGAAACGCAAAACAGGGCATTTGAGCTGAATACTGATGCTATTTAGTGAACAAAGTAATGTCTACAAGAATGAACGAGTGGCCAAATCACACGTTAAAACATAATTCTGTTTAGGAATCCATATTTTCCAGCAACTTGGACAAAATGTTACGGAAGAGCTCTCAGTATTTGGTCAGCTGATTACATTCCACCGCTTAAACCACAAAATATCTTCTGTTTCAATAAATAAATTACAGTTTAAAACTAGGGTATCTTACTTTTCCAATAAATAAAACATTGTATTTGTCTCGACAGAAAAAGTATTGTAAAAGTAAATAACCACCTGCTGTCTTCATCTTATTAGAAAACATGTCATCTTAAACATACATGTAAGAAAGAGCCCTCTGAGTCACTTTGGGCTGAGAGCTGATTGGCTAGGGTTAGGGTGGCCCTCTCTTTTTCACTTTTTTTTATTTCAATTATCTAAAGATGTGACAGAAGCAAAAATTAAAAGTACATTTTTATGTATACATGTACACAAAGCGGTGTTTGCTGCCAGTATGTTCAACTTTGGAAAAAAGAAAAGGTCAGATACTTTTCAAATTGTGAAGGAGAGACAATTAAGTAAGTAAGTAAGTAAAGTAAGTAAGTAAGTAATTATTTATATACCGCCTTTTCACTGCAGAGCTGAGTCTCAAAGCGGTTTACAATTGTTATTTTTTTGGGCACTTGTCCACACAGAGATGGGAGCGGGGTCGCCAGTACAGGAAGCGCATGCCAGAACTATTTTACATATTTTTAGCGGTAGGGCAAACCGGAGTACCCGGAGGAAACCTACGCAGACACGGGGAGAACATGCAAACTCCACTCAGAAAGGCCCTGGTCCGACCGGGATTCGAACCCAGGACCTTCTTGCTGAGAGGCGAGAGTGCTATCCACTCAGCCACCGTGCCGCATTAAAATGCATGCGCCAGTTAGCCCCGCCCCCAAGGGTTCCTGATTGGACGCAATGTAGTGTATTTAAATCCTTCAGAGACAACTAGTCCAACTATTCTTCTGCAGCAAATCTTACTGGTGATGCTTATTTTCAAGGGGGGGAACAAGAGGGTCCACATATATAATAAGAATATATAATTCTTCTCGAAAGCAAATTCAATTGAAGTTGCAGACATCACCTTTAAGATATAACTCATCATAATTCTTAATGGCCTCAAATAATGTGTAATAGTTCTTTAAACGTTGTGTGTAAGGAAGAGGTTTTTGCGTTTAGGTCTCTTTTAAAAGTGATAATCAGAATATTTGGGACCCAGGGGTCCTCTGGTCATCGATAAAAAGGCCCAAATATGACAGATCACACAGCACACAGATAATCACATGGGTTGTCTTTTACATAATGATGAGTGTGGAAGTCAAACTGTGGTCCGCAGAGACACGGGGCTCATTACTGCAGGCTGCACACTGCTCTTCTCTGCACAGCCCTTTGCCCTGCAGCACAATGTCAACAACTCCTGATTTGTGTCTGCTTCTCTCATTCCGTTTCACTTAATTAGATCTTTCAGAGGCAGCTCTCTCCTCCGAGTCCACAGAGACCTATAAAATAATAGCGGAGGCTGGAGTACTCTGACCGCACTGTCCTCAGCTCCGGTTCAGACCCCTCTTTTATACAGACGCTTTGTGTCAACTCGGCAACTTCCCGGGGCGCTGCACGAACAAAGCAAGCATCTTTTTGCCCTTTCTGACCCCAGAAGTGAAGGCGACAGCTGAGGTCGTGCATCTGATGCAGTGAGACAGACATATAGTACAGAAAACAGAGAAACATAGAGCATTTCAACACTGTCAAAGCCAAAGTCAATGCAGAGCTTTTGATGACTCTTTTGTTTGAGAGTTGCATGTTGGAAAAGGCAATAGTGGTCTCAATGACTGCAATAACAATATATATATATTGATATTGTGATATGAAACAAATAGTATATTGTTTTCAAAATATAATTCACTTTGTTTTTGTTGACGGTTTAACAGATTTCAGTTGCCTGGTTGTAACTAAGTTCATACATGCTAAATATATTAGTTAATGTCATTGTTTGAGTAAATTCCCTCGAGTGAAGTGTGGCGACAGTGGCTCATTTGGTAGAGCAATGGCCTTTGAGCCTGAAAGTCGTGGGTTCAAGATTATAAAAATAATAATAACTGTCAAACTAAAACC